CAGAGAGAGAGAGAGAGATACACTTAATTTTTTGACAGAATAACCAGTTTGGAGTTTGAAGTTCTAAGAGAGAGCGCTCCAAGTTACACTTAATTTTTTGACAGACTAACCAGTTCGGAGCTTGAAGTTCTGAACCAGTTTAGTTACCAAAAAGTTGGTTCGGAACCTAAATTTTCGAATGTATCTATTGATAAAGAAGACAAGACCTGATTTAAAACTTCTAGTTCCAAACCAAGGTTATTTTATGGAAAAATATAAAAAATGAGAGAAAAGCGGACAGGAGTATAAATCATGTAAAATGGGGACCATCTTTTAAATACCACATAAAATAAAGGATATTTACACTAATTCCCCAAAAAACTTAACTTTGAGGTAAAAATATTGGAACTTTACATACAATACTATATAGAAGCAAGTATCAGTAGCAGACCAACCCACAAAGGCCACAAAATCGAACCCCCAAAGTATTTTGGGGTGAGGCTTTTGGATTTAGAAGATCAGAGGTTCATTGAAGCTTTTTTTAAACTGAAAAATGACACCCTTGAATCCTCTCAAATCTGTGAAATTTGGTTAATCTCTCGCATAGACGACCCTAGAGATGAAAAAATTTGGGGGCTTAATACCAATGTTAGTTGAAGTATGTTAAAATGCCCCTAGAGATGAAATTTGGGGGCTTAATACCAATGTTCGCTAAAGTATGTTTAATTCATCCTTGCCTTTTGCCACCGGAAGCAAAAAAAAGTTGTCTGAACCTGTAAGTGACTCGAGATCTTGCCAAGTCTGATAAAGAACTGGCCAAGGCTAGTTCTATACCTGGGTAGTTTGCTGATTTAGCAACTTCCAGACTCTGTTGGTGCTAGGTTAAAGTGACTCAGGTGATTCCGTGCCTGAGTTACTGAGTTATGCACTGATCTTGCTTTATAACTCGAAAATTTCATTGAAGGACTTCGTATAAATCGAGATAATATACATCGTCATCATTGTAAGTGATTAAGCTTCTATAGCTCCATGCAATACACTTGACAAGTAACATTCGAAAATTAAAAACATACATCAAATTATATTTGGGCTAAGCTAAAAATACAGCAGCAACCAGGAAAGAAGTAAAAAAGAAAAAAATAGAGAGGGACAGAGAGAGAGAAAGACAAAGAGAGATCAAAAGCTTGGGTAGGAAGAAAGAGAAGGAGAGACACTTTGAGAGAAGAGAGATAGTGAGTCATGTGGAGTCCAAACCAAAGTTAGCAAGTCAGGGATTTTCAATAAATCTGCTTACCTTAAAATCGGGAAAAAATCATTTTTATTTTAAAAAGTCGGATGAAAAAGTCGGATAAAAAATAAGGATCGGTAAAAATACTTCATGTAAAGATATCGCCAATAAATCGGACTAGGCTAAAACAATGGGAGTCAAAAAATCAAATAAGTTAACAAAGATCACAACTACTTCATACCAAAAAAAAAATACACGATATAAATGTTCACATTAAATAATTTAACAAAGATCACAACTACTTAAAAAAACAAAAAAAAGTACACCATATAATTTTCACATTAAATACTTCAACAAATATCAAATCTACTTAAATATCAACATACCCAAAAAAAGGCACAATTTTTTTTTTTTAGAAATATCAAATATATTTAAATATCAACATACCCCACATACACCATATAAATCTTCACATTGAATACTTCAACAAATATCAAATCTACTTAAATATCACCAAACCCAAAAAAAAAAACAGGCACAATTAAATATCAACAAATATCAAATCTACTTAAATATTAACATACCCAAAATCTACTTTAAAAACCCAAATCTACTTAAATACTTTAGCAAATATCAATATACTCAAAAAAATACACAATTTTTGTTTTTATCAATAAATGCATTAACTATGGTTAAATCACTTATAACTATGGTTAATATAAAGATTACTTTATACTTTATATAGTTGTTTTCATTGAAAACCGCTTTTCAAGACCATTTGTGAAACTTGAAGACTTTTGGAAAAAAAATGGAGCAAGGCTTTGGAAGACCTGAGCAGGAAGAAGCTCGATAGAACTCTCTTCTCCCCTGATCTCACTGATAAGGAAGCTCGATAGAACAGCAAGGTCTTTGAAAGACCTGCGTTTCATTGAAAGCATGGTATGCTTCTTCAAAATTAGGGATGGAGGTTTTGCTTTGTGAGTTTGGAAAAAGCTCAAAATTGGGGATGGGGGATTTCTCTGTTAGAGAGAGAAAATCAAATGGGTTTCTTGGGGATGGGGGTTTTCAAGAGCAAGAAGATTATGAAATTTGCAGGAACATGAAGATTAGGTTTGTTGATGGAAATACTATGTTTTTTCAGGAACATGAAGATTATAAAATTTGCGAGAACATGAGTGTTCTGTGTTAGGATTTCTTTTTTATGAAAATAATACGTTTTTAAGAAATTACACATGTCAGGAATTTTTTTTTCTTTTTTTAAAAAAATACAAGTAAAAATGAGTTTTTTTGGGTCCGTTTAATTCGTTCTCCAAAAAATCGTGTTTTTAACGTTTTAATAAAAAAACACGTTTTTTTACGAACTTTTCAAAAAAACGACGTTTTAAACGTTTTTCAAAACAATGCCGAATTTTAAAAAAAATCGACGATTAGTCGCCGATTTGTTAACTATGGTCCAAACCAATGGTTTAAAAAACGGATCGGTGACCCAGATCGAGCTTCCAAAAAACCGATCCGGATCGGCGATCCCAACAGCAACAGTGTAGGGATGAGCACGACAGTGCAGGTGAGCATGAAGGATGGACAATCTTCGGGGATTTTAGATTGGAAACACAACAAAACACTAACACTCGGGGATTTGGGAATAGTCAGACGCCTGCTAATATCGATGATTCGTTTTTAGATCGAATCAATGAATTGTTAAACGAATTCAATCAATGGCACCAGCGTGACCAAGAAGAACAATAACGTCGTCTATCATTTTATTTTTAGATCATATGTTACTAATTTTATGCTTTATTGTAGTCCATGTATGTTGATATACTTATTCCATGATAATTCTATGTTTATCCTTTTGTGTGATGTAAATTAAATGCTGAATGGCAGTTCATGCAGGGAAAGAACATATCAATATTCGCATATTCATTCAAAAACATGAAAATTCTTAATGGAGTACCCTCATTTCTTATTGAATTCCTAAAAAGCAATATTTATAATGAATTTTAATAATTTTTTCGGATTTTTTTTAAGCTTTATTCTGACCGATTCACCCGATTCCGACCCGGATCGCAGATTCGCCGATCCGGATCGGTTTTTTGGGAGCTCGATCCGGGTCACCGATCCGTTTTTTAAACCATTGGTCCAAACTGATCTCCACGCACCACTAAACCTTTCAAACCAAGCTCAAGTAGACTTCTTTATTCCATAAATAGCCTTCTCAATCTACACATTTTTCCCTCATATCCAGGAGCCCTGAATCCAGGTAAGGGAACCGTTTACACTTCTTCCTCCCATGAAGGAATGCATTCTTGATGTCCAGTTGATGTAATAGCCACTCCATGTTAGCTGCCAAAGACAAACCGACCCGAATGCAGTTCATGTTAGCCATAGGAGTGAATGTCTCCTGATAGTCTATTCCATAAGTTTGAGTGAACCCATTGGCAACCCATTGAATTTGACAGTAGTAATATGGAGACTAGGGCTATCTCCATGGACATGCATATTGGAGGTTACAATGTGGAGTATTAGTGAAGGTCGAAGAATGGCTTGAATCACTCATATTAGACCATATTGACCACAAACAGGCTAAAAAACACCAACACATTGATCAGCAGAGCCAGATACTGAAAAATACTTCGAACAGGGACCCGAGATCATCAATGCTAGAGATCTCAAAAAGGACTAAGTTCACAACTCACAAACAAGGGTTCAATCCATTTAAGGGGTCCAACAACAGACTTTAGCACCATCGAACTATACCAAACAGATCTAGGGTTTTTGATTCTGCATTCTATACTTCTTTTCCAAATCTAGGATTTCATACCTCCTTTTTCCCTTCAGATCAAATGTTTCTAGCGATATGCCTTTTGGAGATCGACTCATGGCCAAATCACATCTCAAGGGTTACAAAAGAAAGTTCTCAAAGCAACCGAGCTTTGATACCGAGTTCGAACTACAGCAACAACTAAGGAACGAAGGAAAGAGAAGAAAATAGACAGCAAGAGAGAGAAAAAAAAGCTTGGTTAGATAGAAAAAGAAGAGACTTTTAGAAAGAGAGAAAGTCACATGGAAGACAACTAACCTCCACTTAATGTAAATGATAAACTTAGCTTACATATAAAAGTACCCTTTAAGTGAAAAGAAGGACAAATAAGTTCTTCAGGATATAAACACAATTAAAAGAAAACAAGGAGCTCTCAATATTCATCTTCATAACAGGCTACCATATCACATATTCTTTATAAAGGAAATATAATTTGCATAAATGTCACGTCTGTACATATTATTGGACGTTTATAACTAGTGAACTATCATAACGTTAATAAACCAACTAGGACATAAAGTGCACATGTTGACTTATGTTGAAGCATCATAACGATAATAATCCAACTAGGACATATAGCGCACATGTTGACTTAGGCTTAAATCAGTGTTCATGGATTGCTAAAATTAATTATAGCCTCGATTGAATTGGTAATCAAAGCAAGCCCAGAAAGTATTATAACATAGTAAAGCTATTAAGATGTCATGAAAGGCTCAAACATATGTCATATTTAACTACTTTGACATAAATAAGCCTACTACCAGAAAAACATTTCTAAAAACTTATTCTTATTTATAATATTATAACAGTAATCATATAACAAATAGATTAATAATTAATAGACGAATGGGGTTAAAGCTTCGCTTGTGCTTTCTTTCCATTATATGGAGAATAAGGGAAAAAACAAAATGTAAAGCTTTAGAAAACTACAATATATAGAGTGGAATTGTTGTTGGATTTATGTGGTCTCTCAAGGCCTTGACACAATATCTTTCAATATTCTTAAGTCAAATCCTAACCATGGGTTTTGGTTCACAAGCTCAATGGGGTACCATGAGGCTTGAGGTTATCCCATGGTCAAGGTTAGCGTGAACCTAGAACTAGATATCGAAGGCTAATCTCGGTGCATAGGGATGCCTGTGAGAGATCAAGAGAAGGGATATCTCTATGAGATAAAAGTCGGGGGAAAGGATATCCCGCATAGGTTGGTTGCCTGTGAGGGCAACGGAAAAAGCCTCGACTTATTTCCAACTAACTTATGGCATGTTCCTATAAGAGAAGCATAAATGGGAAGCTGCCTCTCCAGGTGATATACCAGGTTAGAGATGTGCACATTTGCTAAGAGAGAAATCATGCACCGTCACTTGTTTGCTTGATTCTGACTACGATCACAAATGCGCAATATACTTGTCCTTGAGGTGCACCTGCAGTCAACTAAGATTACAAAATTCTGACCATCAATCGATAAGCTTTAATGGACCAAGCACGAGCCTCGAGCCCCTACAAAGATTGTGGGTCATGGTTTCGTTGGGTCTATTCAAGGAAATGGTTGTGGGTTTTGGGTTAAGGACATAGAGCGCCCTAATTTTATGAATTCAAACTCTAAAGGTGCTTAATTTCTTTCAAATATTTTTTTGACAGCCCAAGTTAATTTATTTTTGCAAAATAAGTTGAAAATGAATTTTAAATATCTTTAGAAATTTTATCTATATTTTATGTGGTTTAAAATGGGCTACAAATATTGTTTTCAAAAATTCCATTTAAGGACTGGGGGCCCTTCGCACCAGCCTAAGTGGCCAATGGGCCACACATGGCCTCAAATGGGCTAACTTGTGGCCCCTAGCCACCCCATCTGATGTTGACATAAGGATGACGCTTTGCCCTTGACGTCGTCCCACAGAAAAAAGGATTTTGAGATGCTTAATACAAAAAGTCTATACAAGTTTGAGAAGCTTCATACAATCAAATACAGATTATGCTTGATAGGATTTTTTTTCCCCCCTTTTTTCAGGCATCTTTGCACCACAACTGCATTATCTATAGAAATCATATCAATTCATATCTTCATATCAAATAAATCACTAAAGCACAAGCACAAAATGAAGTCCCTATACTTGCAAAAAAAAGTTCTAAGGGTTTTGATGCAATAACTAATAATTGGTGAATAGGGGTTGACAAGGTGGAATTCAAACATGATTAGAAAAGATGGTCTTTAAAAGAATTTCAAATAAAAACATGGTCTTTCAAAGTGATTACAGGACTCATCGATACCTAAAGGAGTAATCCCTATAGGAATGAATCCCTATCGGTGCCTAATCAAAAGAAAGGTCCCTGCTGGTGAGGGAGGAGCTTGCCCGATATAGAGAGAAATCGTCCAAAGAAAACTTGTCATATGTCTGATAGAGCCAAAGTACAAGTATGATGACATCAATTACGGTCGAAATGGAATTAACAGAAGGGAAAGGGATAAGGAAACTAGGGACCCAGTTATAAGAACCTTATTCTTCTACCATGGGTGAAACTTCTTAAGTACAGTGATGGAACATGCCAACCATGTGCTAGCCTCTTGTTAGCCTTGATGAGATTAACTAAAAAAAAAAAATCTGGTAATAAGAAATCAATTCCATTAAGACAAAAATGAATAAATCCCGGTCTACAGGAAGAAGTTAGATCTTTAAGGGCCTGTTTGATTGCTGGAAGGTGAATCTTCCAGTTCTTCTTTCTTGGAAATCGGAACGTTATCTTTCTGGAATTGTTAGGAACTGTGTTTGATAACCTGTGTGGAATATTAACGAATTCTGGGTGCCCGTCATTGATTGGCTCTAGAATATTTGGCTTATGGAGAGCAATGAATAAGCAAGTTTTAACCGTTCGTTCATTTTTTAGAGTGTTTCTCAGTCCACAATAGCTTTAAATACAGGAAAAGTTTGGGCTAGAAAGAATGATCATTGACGCAGAAAGTATGAAAGCAAAGTCAATCTTGGCAAACTAAGTGAGTTGTTTTATAAGTTTCATACATATTGATCTATAGTCTAGATTCTAGACCAACGCATAGAATAATAAATGAACCCATTAATCAAATGATAAAACGAATTATCCAAAAAAATATATAAAAAGGAGAAGTTGTACATTATGAGGCCAATCCTCAATTAATGTGATTCCAAGTGTTTAACTTTCTCTCTCTGAGAGTAATCAATTTGGCCTTCTAGTATGTACATTTTGATTGGACTCGACATTTCCAATCAAGCTCTTTAAATAAATGATGCAGGGAAAAAATAAAACCCGAAAAACTAACAATAAAAAAAGAAAGGTTGATAGAATATACCCTCTCTCAAAGGTCTGCGAGGGAATCCACCCTAAAAATAGTATCTTCACGAAACCAAATTCTATTCAACTCATTCACTGATTTAAAATGAAGGGAGATCTCCCTTTAAATTGACTAAAAGAAGATAAACAATTGTCTTTCCTATTTTGTCTCTCCTCCCTATTTTCTCTCCCTTAACCTATTTTCTTGGTCATCCCTATTTTTTTTCTCTCTTAACCTCATGTACCAGAAACCCCCTTTTTTATCCAAAGCTACCTATTGTTGAAAAGATAAAATTCCCTTAGATTTAACTTTATCCTATTTACATTCCTAAACTAACCAACTCAATATCAATTCACGTACAAAATAAACTCATGCCCACCTAATTATCCCTGCGCACCTCCTATTCTTGAGTTAAAAGATAAACTCAAAAAAGCTAATAATAATAATAATAAAATTATTTTTTTCTCTACATCATTCTTCCGGGGTTGGCAGAAACTTGACCTCGAGCTCGATTCAAAGTGGATCTCCATCTTCATAACCATGGAGGAGTATTTGTTGAACTTTATCTTCTTCTGGAACTTCTTCTCTTCCCTAACAAAGTGTACGTCCATCTTCTTTTTTAGCATTCAAACGTACAATGTCCTGGTTCGTTGCATCGATAATACATAAAATTTGCAGTATCTTTTTTTTTCTTCATTGAATCTCGATTGGTGTAAAACCTCCTTTTGGGTGTAAAATCGCTTATAGGTGCGTCCTTGGTATTTAGTTTCTACTCGTAAAGCAAGTTGAAAGCTTCACTTAAAGTCCATTGTCGTTGTAGAAAAACCTGATCCCTAATGGTAGGTTGAAGGCCATTTACATATCGAGCAATCTTTTGTCTTTTAGTCTCTTGGAGGTTATTTCGAACAACTAATCGACAAAACTCTCTAGTATAATCTTCTACTTTTTTTTCATTATGTCGAAGATTTTGGAGTTCTTGAAAGAAAATTTACGCATGATCCGCAGGAAGAAAATTTTCTTTCAATTTCTTTTTCATCTTTTGCCAGTCAGTAACTTTTCCCTTCCCACTACGAATTCAGAATTGTTGAACTTGCTCCCACCAGGCCGCAGCATACCTGCGTTCTTCTGACAATTCACTCCATTCAAAATAACTCTCAACTGCACTTAACCAATCAATAAAACCTTCAATGTGGAGCTTACCATGAAATTCTGGGAGATCGACTTTAATACTAAAATCTCGTGGTCGCTCTATAGGATGCGGATCTGGCCTATAATCTCCGTTTCGCGTGAAAACAACACCTTGGTTTTATTGTGGAATTCCAAATGCAAGATTAATGTGGTTGCTAGTACCTTCTTCATGAGGAAGGCTATTCTCCAACCACTGCAACCTCTGATCCAACCAGTGCATCATCTGTTCTACACGAATAACATCGTTCTCCAACCGCTGCAACCTCTGATTTATCTCCTCTAGCGCTTTAGTCAAATTTTCTATAGCTTGTCCCCAACGATCATCCATAGGAGCAGAATTAACTTTGATTAACTTTTGGTGGCATTATAAAACAAACCGGATCTCTTTGGATCTAACTTGCTCTCTGTAGATCTAACATACTCAAATCTAACTCGCTCTAATACCAATTGACGTAAGGAGAAAATAAACCAGAAAAACTAACAATAAAAAAAGAAAAGTTGATAGAATATACCCTATTTCAAAGGTCTACGAGGGAATCCACTCCAAAAACAATCTCTTCACGAGACCAAATTCTATGTAACTCATTCACTGATTTACAATGAAAAGAGATCTCCCTTTAAATAGACTAAAAGAAGATAAACAATTATCTTTCGTATTTTATCTCTCCTCCTTATTTTCTCGCCCTTAACCTATTTTCTTGGTCATCCCTATTTGTTTCTCTCTTAACCTCACGTACCAAAAACCCCCATTTTATCCAAAGCTGCCTATTGTTGAAAAGATAAAACTCCCTTAGATTTAACCTTATCCTATTTACATTCCTAAACTAACCAACTCAATATCAATTCACGCACACAATAAACTCATGCCAACCTAATTATCCCTTCGCACCTCCTACTCTTGAGTTAAAAGATAAACGCAAAAAACTAATAATAAAGAAAATAAAAAAAATTCTCTACATCAATAAAACCTAATTGCAATAAACAAGCCACATAATACCTTCACTTAATTTAACAAAGTCTCTCTTTAGTTTTTGATTGTTAACAGTGTGAACTTCACCGACCCATGGAGAAAGGACCAAACAGGGTGGCCAAAAGTTGCAGGCGTGTTCCCCTCAACAAAGAAGCGGCTATGCCATGCAAGACCACAGCAAGAGATAAGAGAGACAAAGATGAAACACCATCTAAAGAGGAGAAAGAGTAACAAGAAGAAGAGAGCAGAGAGAGTAGCCATAAAAAGGGCTTATTGGGTTTTCCTTGTTTCTCTTTCTAACTTAGATTGAGTGTTAGGGGTGAAGGCCTGAGCAAGGAAGATTTATCTTTGGAAGCGAGAAAAACAAGCGACTAAGATGGTGAGAAAATCCATTGAATTGGAAGGAATGGCTAGGAGTTCATTTTTTTTTATTATGTTTGTACTCTAAGCCAAAGGGAAAATGGGCTGGAGATACAGAATTGTGGGTTTGTTGTTTAGATATAGAGAGGGGTGAAATAGGTTTTATAAATTATTGTGTTTCCTGCTTGCCCACATATGTGGGATTCCAGAGAGAGGAGAGAGAAAAAGAGAAAGAGAGAGAGAGAGAGAAAGAGTAGAGATAGAGAAAATCTTGCCACATATGTGGGATTCCAGAGAGAGGAGAGAGAAGAAAGAGAAGAGAGAGAGAGAGAGAAGAGTAGAGATAGAGAAATCTGCACATATGTGGAGTCAGAGAGAGAGAGAGAGAGAAGAGAGAGAGAGAGAGAGAGAGAAAGAGTAGAGATAGAGAAAATCTGGGGGTGAGGAGCTTGCACAAGAGAGAGAGATCATGAAAGAGAGTAGGAGAGAGAGTGATAGATAGAGAGATTTGTGGGGAGAGGGATTTTCATAAAGAGAGATAATGAGAGAGCTGGGGAGTGAGAGCAACAGAGAGCGAGAGAGGTCAGAGGTTTAAGAGAGGGGAGAGAGGGTGATGAGGAGGCACTTGGTTGAGAGGGACAAGCAGGAGAGAGAGCTGGGCTTGGCGAGTCGAGAGAAGAGGTTAGGGAAACAGAGAAGGCAAAAGGCTTTTACCAATGTTATAACGCAAAAAGGAAAAACCTTCCAAAAGTTTCACTTTTATGGTTTTACCACGGAAGTCGAACTTCACAGGATTGTGTACAAATATAAAAGATGTACGTTTTTATTTTCTAGATCACTATAGCGTGTCAAATGCAAAAGTGATACAGTAACAGGGATGGTTTGTCTTCTGAAGAGGAACCTTCCCCCAAAGAAACGTGCCCCTAATTGGCACATGATGTTTTATACAATGGCAAGAGAATTCAGAACTAAGAATGTCACATTACTAAATCCTGTAACAAATCTATAACATCTATCACCAAACCAATATAAGGTAATGAAGGCAAATCGATTAGAAATTCAGAACAGGTTGCACTTCAAGAATTTCAATAGTTTATGAAACAGAGAAATTTAATGCAATAACCAAAAGTTTTGTGATAGAAAACACAGAAAACATCATAATTATAACACGCATGAAGATTCAAGCACAAGCTTCCATGGCTTAAAGGCTTTTTCCAAGTAAGCAATTAAAATAATTATGAGGAATTACGAGTTATAAGTTCACAAAAAATTTCTGAGAAAGAAGTTAGGCTTACGCAAAACACAATAGGACTCAATAAGTCATACATGTTCTAATTGTGGTATAGAATGCCAAGACAAAACAGTTATTTGGTACGATGTGAACACAATATGAGCAGTGCAACTTCATGGTTCAATTCAAGTAACTGAAGCACAAGTGCAATAAGAAACTACAACTCTGAGTCACTATCAAGGAGTAGGTAAATTACGGATGAGAAGCATTATCTAATGAAAGATCAAGCTATGAGTGAAATTCTAGGTGAGTGATTAGCATCAGTGTTTTAAAATGCAGGACGTGGCCAAAAGCGGTGGGGGGGGGCCGATGCGGCTCAATGTGGTCCAGATACGGGTGCATCGCGACGATGGGATCAATACATGTAAAAAAATTCTAAAAAAATCTAAAAAAATAGGTTAATGCATAGAAAAAATATGGAGGTGATATATGTGATAGTAGGCATTTTAGTTTAACTCCAAAATTATTAGCTCCTTGAGATTCTGTATCCACTCTCCCCAATTTTAGTGCTAAATTTCTTCATGGCCTCTGAAACCCCCGATTACTTATCACAAATTCACCTAAACTTCTCCAAATCAACAATCAAAAGGTTCTAATCAATATACAAGTATCAAACAATCCCCAAATCCAAGATCTGAATGAAAAAGAAATTCCGCCTAATTTATTTTTTTGCTAGATTTGATTCCAAAAAAGCCACGAAAGTGGCTGTAAATGATCGTTTAGGGGGGTTTAATACCCTCCCAAACTGTTTCCCCCAATTTTTGATCGTCAAAAAGACCATTTTTCCCCTCTTAGAGGAGCACAATTGAATTTTCTTTTTATAGAAAACGATGCAACCAGATGCAGCTCTGATGCGGCCAGATGAGGCTCTGATGCGGTCTAATGCGGCGCATATGCGGACTGTGTAGATGCGGTGCCCACTGCATACCGCATGATGCAGCCGCATTTTAAAACAATGATTAACATCTTATTTGTCATTGGAATTACCATTTATCAAGTTGATCTGTCACCCATTGCGCATATTGAGTTAAAGAGTTTGATACAAATACTAGAGCCTATTGTAATTTTTTCTAGAAAGAGAAAAAGCAGATTCCACTACAATGAATGCTCATGAAATTGAATGGTACAGCCACGTCCAATTCTATTGAGGCTTCTTTGATGGCATATGCAGTTTAGCAGCAGCAGTTGGCCATCCACAAAATTCCCCAGTTGGCAACAAAACTCAATAAAAGGTCACTTTGGTGAAAACAGCCAAAACAAGGTTATGAGTATCAACTTCTAGAAAATGGGAATGATAATATTGAAAAAGAATTTAATAATTTAATGCATGATTATAATCATAATCTGCTACCACCTAAGTATGAAGATACTCGTCCAAAAATACTAGATGACCCTGAAACTTCAACCAAATGTAATATGTTAGAGAAAATACAAGACTGTAAATATGTTAACCTCTTGGACAAAGTAATAACTCAGAGATGGTTTACCATTGTTAAAATATTTGTCCAAAAAGAATATACCTTTCAAACTACTACTCTTATAGATTTAGGAGTAGATTTAAATTGTATAAATGAAGGACTAGTTCCAACATAATATTTTAGCAAAATCGTATAGGTTTTAAACACTGCTGATGGTAGTGAGATGTTAATAAATTATAAACTGTCGATGCAATGGTCTGTAATAATGGTACATGCTTTAAATTTCCCTTCATAATGGTTAAAGGATTAAGTCAACCTGTTATACTTGGAACTCCCTTCTTAAATATGCTTTATCCTATTAAAATTGATAACACTGGAATAAAAGCAAACATTGTAGGACATGAAGTAAAATTTGACTTTATTGATAAACCAAAAGTCCATGAAATAAACAATATTAAAAATAAAATATCGACAAAAGAAAAATTCCTCTTTCATTTAAAAGAATAAGTCAAACATAAGGTCATTGATGAAAAACTTACATTACCCCAAATACAAAATAGAATCAGCAATTTCAAAATAATGCTTGAAAAAGAAATATGTTCATATATTCCTAATGATTTTTGGAGTAGGAAGCAACATTTTGTTGAACTTCCTTATGAACCTGGATTCAATGAACAAAAACTTCCTACAACAGCAAGACCAATACAAATGAATAGTAGACTCCTAGAAATCTGTAAAACTAAGATACATGAATTGCTTGATAAAAAACTTATTAGAAAAAGTTTCTCACCATGGAGTTGTGTAGCCTTTATGTAGAAAAAGCCTCAGAGATTGAAATAGGAGCTCATCGACTGGCTATAAATTACAAACCTTTAAATAAACTCTGAGATGGATTTGATATCTTATCCCAAACAAAAAGGATCTTCTAGATAGATTGGTTAATGCTTGTATATTCTCAAAATTTCATTTAAAATCAAGATATTGGGAAATTCAAATAACAGAAAAAGACAGGTATAAAACTGCTTTCAATGTTCCTTTTGGGCATTATGAATGGAATGTTATGCCTTTTGGTTTTAAAAATGCCCCTTTTGAATTTCAAAACATCATGAACAATATTTTCAATCCCTCCACCAAATTTATCATTGTGTACATTGATGATGTTCTTGTTTATTCTGAAACTATCGAACAACATTGGAAACCTTTAAATATTTTCTTTAAAGCTGTAAAAACTGTTGGATTAGTTGTTTCAGCTAAAAATATAAACCTTTTTAAAACTAAAATAAGGTTCT